TTTTTTCCCACAGCATTGTTGTTTTTCAGTATTTTGCCTTTTAATCTATATATATATATATATATATATATATATATATATATACTTTCACCGTTTTTTTCATTGCTTTTGTATTTTATTTCACTTGGAGCATACATGCAAACCCACTCTTCAATATATATATATATATATATATATATAGAACTGGAGGTCGCTGGAACAGAATGTTGCTACTCGGAGTTTCACGCTGTTGCGATCGTCAGGCAACTGATATATATATATATATATATATATTTATATCATTAGACATCACATATATATCATACCAAATATAGCGGAAATTAATTAATGAAACATGGATAAAGAATTACAATTTCACATCTTAACTTTTGTATATTTTTTAATAATAGGCATCAATTTACAATGATTTCAAAACCACCTTCTCTGATTCATCCACAAAATGCAATAGTCTTACACTATATGAACTGTCTTTTTAAAAACACCTTTGTTGTGCTGGGTACGCATAAACCATGATCACAAATAACGTAACACTCACAGATTTCTGAACCAAATTTCAATATTAGTGTATATGTCTTATAGGCCAACACCATTATTCTATGTTTTTTACAAATAATCTTTTAAGACAAAAACTAAAATTGTTAATAAAATAATCATAAAACATTATATAAAAATCAATAAGATAATAATACTAATAATTGTAAAAAAATATGAACAAAAAATAATAATGTATGAGAAAAAAAATAATAAAACAATATTCATAATTTAGTAAGTAGAGCAAGATACCAGTGACAATAGAATAAAACAAAAATATGAAATTAACAATATAAATAATTGATAGTAATAAAAAAAAAAGTATGGGTAAAAATCATAAAACAAAATAATAGATAACACATACAGTTCAAAGTTGAGCACTTCATATGACTCATTTAAATTCTTTACATTGCACAATTCAATAGTGTGAGATTCTCATCACATTTGAGACAAATACTTAAAATACATTGTTTTCATCAAAAAAAGCTTGTTTGATAGCTAGCTGGTTGCTAACAGTTAGCAACTACAATTAAACCTTCTTCATCTACAAATCCATTTAACCGAGCTTCATAATGTAGAAACAATGTGTATAGAATGACAATAAAATCACATTATTAACATAACATAGTGTTTAATACTTCTATTTATATCTGCAGACCTGAATATAGTCAAATATTTGTGCTTAAAGTATATAGCTTTATCAACACTATGGAATTTTATGTGACAAATTTGTGTTCTGTGCCCATATATGAGCATAATATTGTCATATTACGCTCAAATACAGGCATATATTTTTTGTCATATAAAATTTAATAGTGTGAACAGCTCAATATCAATATACCAGATCCACATGAGACAAAATGTTGCACAAAACACATGCTAACTCTTGCAAGGTTCCTCAAAGATATTCCAAACTCACCATCACTTTGATACAAGTAAATTAAAACCATGTTAAAATTCAGTACAATTGATACGCAAAAAGATATACACAACGCCATAGTGAAAGATAGGTTGTGCCCCACGAGAATGCGCATTGATCATGCTAAATTACAAGCGCCTGTGATGTCTGTTTTTTTCCTACTTACTGTATATAGGATGCTTGCTAATTTTACACACAAATGAGCCTTTAGAGACACAATATAGCAGGGGTCACTTGCTAAATTTCCCTTAGCGTTTGTCCCATGCAACATTTCGTCTTGTGTGAATTAGATATGAGATTGAGTTTATAGAAGTAAAAATCTATGGAGTAAAAGTTCCTTCTTCAAAAAAAATCCTAAAAAAGACATTTCCACAATTGTTTTTTATGTTTTTCATCTAAACCTCATTTAATAAAACTATTTATGTTTTTGCTAAGGAATGGGGTTAAGGGAGGGGTGATGAAGGGTGTTATCGGATGAGTGTTTTGAAGTTAGTGAATGAGTTAGTGAAAGTGAGTATAGGAATGTTGCATGCAGCAATTAAATGATAAAAAGTTAAAAGGAATAGAAATTAATGTATGTTTGTTTTTTTTTTTTCAATACTTTTTTTTGCCTTTAATTTTGTTTCATAACTTGTTGAAATTTTGGTAATTTTCATTACTTTTATAACAAGCATCACCAAGGATTACCATATAAACACTACATTTAAGAAGAGACACTTCCAAATATAGATAAAAGCTTTAGAATAGATTGCTAAAGAAGTTGTTCGGATCGCTCACGAACTAAAATAGTAAAGAATATGGGCCAAATAAAAATAACATGTTTCTTGTAGCAGTATCTCATTTTGGCAGCCTCTTATTTCTTTGGTTTTTTTGTTTTTTTTTTCACTTTCACAGAGGCAAACACCCTGAGAATCTTGCTGAAAAGCAAACATCCTTAAAAGCAATGTGTGTACACATAGGACTGCATGCGAGTATCGACATCGGTGGCCATGTATTTTTGAGAGAAAAGAGCAGTCCCCATCCTCATCTTAAAAAAGAAACATGCTTTTTAACTTGGCCTAATAGATATTTGTACACCGGTGTTTATCAATTGAGATCTAATAGATATAAATATACAAGATGGAAAATACTTAAAAGTTTGGAATTTAACAAGTTTACTTATACAATTTATATTATAAATTGATTGAATTTTCAATCTTTTTCTTAGCAATATATGTATATTATATAATTGTTACAAGTAACTGATGTCTTGTTAGAGCAAAGCAAATAGACATTGGTGAACACCAATGGAACTCTTAAGCCTACCCACCTCAAAATATGGGCTCACTTTAAATCACTTAACAACTACTGTTAATTTTTATGATGGATAAGAATTTACTAGTTAAACTTAACTTAATATACTGTAGATTGTCTCACATGGCAGAGCGTTTGATGGTCAAAGGAAGAAACCACAAGCATTATGTATATACTGTATATATTTACAAAAAACATTTTTTTACCATTACATGAAACACTAGTCAGAAAAATAGAAACACATTTAAACAATTAAATATATACTGTCTGTGTAAAAAATTGGGGGAAAATGAAAAGATTCAATTGCTTATTCAAAACAATAAAATTAAATAAATTATCAACTTCAATCTTTTGCTGACATACTGTACACACTTTTTACTAGATTTATATTGATTTTCAGTCAATTTATATGTCAATAAGAACATAGGAATGGTATTGCTTATGCCTCTGTTAACTGGCAAAGAAAATACTTTCTTGTTTCTTTCAATTGAAAACTAATTATTTAAACATACAACATAAGCTGTTCATATTTCCTTTTCTTTTAAACACAAACAGTATACATTTAATATATATATAACGTTTTTCGAGTGCATCTATTTGGGAATAATATAACCAAACTAATACGAAAATGAGCTGTAGGTAATAAACTTATATACTTAGTATTGAGAATAGACCAAACCTATTTAACCATTATTTTCTAAATATAAAATAGTTTCTTAGATACTGCAATATCTTATTCTCGTTTTTAAAGTTTCCTAAATATTTCCTAGCAAACTCTTATAGGATTGGATGGATGCATTTAATAATTGTTTTGTGGACTGTGCAAAATACAGACACAACACATTCACATTCTTAAGTATTTAATAGCATCTAAATATATAAGAAAAACATAATTTTTAAGCAACTTTGAATCTGGTACTACTACTGGTTTATTAATTAGTGATGTTAATTGGTAAGTATTATTAACACTTACTTCACATGTATAACATAGACCTGGGAAGCACCCTCTGGAAAACAGTTCCTGAATGTGGAACGAATATTTATCTCACTGTAGAAATAGGTCAACCGAACAATTGAGAATTTTGAAAGCAGAATAATTATTCTATAAAAAATTTAACAATTGTTAATAGTCAACAAAATTATACTCTTGGAGTTGAAGCATTACATGGTGTAATGTTTACAAATATTATTTGGTCTCAACTGACAACATATATTACATAACACTCTGTATTTGTATTATCAACAATATTCAGAGATACACAGGGAATGGACCTTTCCGGCGTGTCAATCAAACTTTACAACTGACCAATCAGAACAGAGCCAGTAATACATGCATGTCCAACAAGCATACATGTTGTCCCACAAACGCACATGTTTGTGTATGTCTTTACACTGCCAATTTGTGGGATCATAGCAACAATATCCAAGGGGTGGAGCTTAGCAGAAAGTCATGAAAACAAGCATCTAATGACAGACCAACAACAATTACAATAATACCTTTGGTAAAGGCCATAATGATACAAATATGCCACTACTGAATTTGATCAATATGAGAACAAGATAAGATATTTCTCATGTTTTTTTTGCCACATCCAGAAGAGATCATGTTCCAGCTGCTATTAACAACCTGGTTTGGTTTCTCAAAGAGGTTATGAATCGATGTGACAAGGCATCAGATATATCAGTAACTTGGTCTGGTTCCTCAAAGAGTTATCGATGGCACAAGGCAACAGATGTATTAGTAATCTGGGATATGAACACTTATTGAGATCAGTTCTGATCCAGAATATATCAGTATATCAGTAACCTGGTTGGTTTCTCATAGATGTAAATACTTACTGATGTAAGTCCACACAGTTCGTGATATTAAAAGATGCTAAGGCATCCATTCATATTTTGTTTGTCCTCTTTGAAGCACTTTTTGCAATAGTAGGCTGTGGAACAGCATCTTTGTTTTGCTTTTGTTTCTGAAGCCTAACCATTGGATTTTCTTGTTTTTAACATTAAAGATATACTGTCTGTTGTTAAATGTGGGATCAGAAAAACCAAAAAGAATTCAATCAAAATTTTATTTCCTCATTTACAAGAATGACACAAGGCATAAACTTTCATCATAAAAAAATTCAAATTTTCACTCCCCCTTTACTACAAAAATCCTTAAATTGATTACTAGCCAATTTATGTACCCATGCACAGAATAGACGTATGGAATTATTAAGATTTTAATTCACAAGAAAAATTTCTAATTTTCAATTGAAAGCTGATAACAACAGCTCTGTCCACACTATCAAATTTTATTAGACAAAAAACTGCAGTATGCCCATATATAGTCATGATGTGCCTATATATGGTCATGATGTGATGTCATCATGACCATATTTAGGCATGTCACATGTTTTTTCAAATAAAAGTTGATAGTCTGGACAGAGCCTTAAACAAAGTAAGGAAATCAAATATTGAATAATATTTTTCAGGTTGTTTAACACAACACAGACAGTGTATCTTTAATGAAACAAATAACATTGAAACATAAACTGAAGTTTATTAATATAAAGACTTATCTGAAAATTACAATAATGTTTTCAATTTTTTTTCAAATTTTATTCTTTTGTGAGTTACTATATGGCAAGTATTTAAGATTGTCTCTTCTTTGTCAAAGTTCTCTGCAGTCATATCGAGCTATTCAACTGCATTCACAATGAACTCTAGGAATCTTTTAGCGTATTGTTCTGGATTCACTGATGAAATTTCAGCCCCAGCCTGTAGTAGTAAGATCAAAATATTTGCATAATAAGGTCAAATTTTATAGCAAGTAATCTTGACAAATATAAAATAGAACTATTTGCTTTATTCAATTTATTGGATTAAACAGTGCTCATAAGTAAGAAAAATGTAGAACATAGTAAAACAAACCTGGGGAAGCACACACTTATACAAGTTACTTTACTAAAAAAAAAACCAAACAAATATATACAAATAAGAAAAAACATAAAAAATACAATGTTTGTAAATAACAGAAAAAGATATAAGTGCTAAGAGACACTATAACTGCTTATTATTAATCTCCTTGAGAAAAGAGATTATCATAGTGATGATTCAAATCCTATAAACATAACCCATAACCTTTGACACAACATGAAAGGTGAACTTACCCCATGCTTGACCGTCTTTGCAGCCATTGCAGCCTTTTTACGTGCTCCCCAATGTGTTAGGATATCTATTAGTCCCAGGAAGTAAACTTCTTCTTTTGGTGATTCTGTTAAGAAATAATTTCATATATTAATAATAAGTGTTGGCAACATATGTTACATTAACTATCAACCAAATACTAAATATGGATAAAAGCCATCCAATGCCATTATTTTCCCCAGCAAAAACCATTCCGCATCTTGCATATACTCTCGTAAAGAAAAGGGGGGGGGGGAGGGGTGGGTGGTGTCTTACAATGAGACTACAAAACATACACTTTCCTGTTACCCACTAGGCAAGTTAAATGCATAAATGCTATTCAACTAGATAAATTAGGCTAGCCTTGGCTAGGTTAATTTATTACTAAACCACTGAGATAATAAGGAAAGTAGGTTGACTAGAAATCCTAGTCAGAGTGTGTACTGGTAATTACATATTATTTAAAACAAAAATAGAGAAATTGAAATGGACAATGTTTCTTCTACCACTCTAGGAAAAAATAGATCAAATCAAGTTGGTCTATAAAATATTTAAAAAACCTCAAAGCCTTCTTAATTCACCTACTCATGCTACTTTCATTACATATAGTGGACAACTGCTTTAGGGGTTTTTAATGGGATTAATTTAGATCAAATCAATGACTAACACTGTTTAATTGATATTTTGGTAAGTATCTAATGTACTGGCAGGTATTGAAGTAAGCTTTTTATGGGTCATTTCTAAAAGGATTTAAATCGACCAAATCAATTACTATAATATCTAATTGATATTTAGGCTAGTATTCAGGTCGATGAATTAAATGCATTCCCACTAAGTGTCCATAATGTGTATACAGTCTGAGGCTTAGCATGTCCATTGTGGAATTAAAATGCTAATGGAATTTAATTAACAAGGTTACAGATTGAAAAAACTCTTACCTTTAGAGGATTTGATGGCATACAGGTCTTCACTAAGGTCAAATTCACCCGTTGTTAGGAGAGGGGTGGTGACAATCATTGGGCTGTCAGGGGGTGTAAATGTTTCCCCACTGCCGGAGTCCTCGTCATCATTGTATCCGTTCTTCTCCTCTGCTTCTAACCTTTCTCGCTCCTCTTGCTCTGCCTTCGCAACATCATGAATTCCTGCCAGTAGGCTATAGTCCATCAGTTTCAGTCTGGTTAAGAACTTTCAAGATAATGAACAAAAACAAAATAAATACAGATTCTGGCCCGGGATTTATCAATCTCAGCTTAGCAAATGTCAAAAAAAAGTCAAAAAAGTTAAGATGTCCCTAATAAGTATCTTACACCGATTTATTACCCAATCTTAGCAAATTCTTGGCTTAAAAATCGTCCTTAGATGGCACCAACGTATAATTGACTTTCTAATTTTAAGCATTTTTTAAGCTAAGCAATATGGATAAATTTAACTTAAGCAAAAAAATGGACTTACGACGAATTTAAGCTGATTTCTAGTTTGATAAATCTGGCCCCTGGCTATAAACCTTACATTGGTCCATTTGTGGGTATCTTTAACACAAACAACGAATTAATTCATATTGACTTGCCATATGGGACAAAAACAATCAAAAGGGACATTGCCATATATGAAATACCTTTGTCCAATCATAGTACCTCACTTGTTGAGAATGTTTTAATAATTGATGTATTCCTTGAATTTTCAAGTCAGACTAAAGAAACTCTTCACAGACCCATGACAGTTTCAAATTTTATGCATGACTGCTTATAAATCCAATAGAAAAGCTAATAATGTTAGTTTTGTGATTTAGGCTATAACATGTACATGAACTACTACTGGCTTAAACATCTGATCTCCAAGTTGCTACGCTATGAAAACTTGTACTTCGACCCTGAAGCTTCAACATAAGGAGGGCAGTGGATAGGACCTAGGTTAAGTCAAAATCTCCACAGTTCAGAGTACACACAGAAGCTATCACCAGTTTATCTGCCTGAGTTAAGCTACTCTCTTGTATGTAGTATTACCATTACTATAATAATCAGTATAATAGAAGCCAAATATATTGAAGAAAATATTTTGAGGAATGAGGTAGTCAGGGTTCAACAACAGATAATTAGAGTTTTAAGAACAAGAGTAATGATATTAATAATAGTAATTGTTTGCATGTATAGTAAGTACTCTTGCCCACCTCTACATCATGTTCTAATGTTTTGATTAATTTATGTTTGGCCTCAGCTCCGACATATATTTTGTTGTTTTCCTTCAGGAAGTCTTGGTCCTTGTAAGTAGGGAAATCTTTCGCCTATAACAAGAGAAATTACAAAATAATAACAATTAAAAGGTAAAAAAAAAGGTTATAATAATGTCCATTGGATCGGCCATAAACAAGGCTACACCCTACATTACACATCAAAGCCAATGAAAGAATTGTGAGTTCAGGTATGAGCCTGTTGTGGCTCATACTGCATGTCTGACAAGAGCCCTCATTAGCCTGTTGTGGCTCATACTGCATGTCTGACAAGAGCCCTCATTAGCCTGTTGTGGCTCATACTGCATGTCTGACAAGAGCCCCCATTAGCCTGTTGTGGCTCATACTGCATGTCTGACAAGAGCCCTCATTAGCCTGTTGTGGCTCATACTGCTAACACTCTCAGCACCACATATGCAAATGTAAACAACTACATCACAATAACATAACTTGTATCTTTTAATTTCTGTAAGAACAAAACCAAGTGTTTTAAATCGATACACTTTAAATATACAGTTACCTTTTCTTTGTCACTGGCCTGCCTGTCCACAGTTGAACCTTTAAGGTCGTACTTCCGATGAATTGCGAGAGTACTACTAAAAATTCCCCTCATTATAATCATGTAAGTTTCGGTGCCATCCACTGTCAACCGGTACATACCAAGATACTGTGGTAATAGTGTTTCTCCATGGATCTCCACAATGTACTGCAAATCAAAATGAAATAGTTGGCGTAATTATTGCTATTCATCCTATTGATAACAGCAAAATTAGCATAAATGATAGTATCAATTCTGTAGTCTTTTTTTTTTATTATTAATAAACTGCTATTCCAAAAAGGTAACCTAAGGCGACAAATGATCAGCTTCCATGGATGGCTGGCCCTTGAGAATACCATTGCAATTAATGTGAACAATGAACTTTGACATTATGTAGTAGGCCAATGTGCAGCTTCAAAGACAAGCTTTGTCTTTTGGCCATTCAAATGTGTTACTAAATTTAAAGATGGTTGTACAGTATATTACAATTGTTCTTAAATAGCTGTCTTGTCGTACCTTATGATAGTCTTTGAGGAGTTCGTGGAAGAGGCCAACTTCCTCACTTGATATTGTCTTGATAACATACTTCTTGTCTGCAGACATCATAAATTTTGAGCCGCTTTTGCCTGCCCAGTCATCGTATGCTGGTGCTGAGAATGTGAATGAATTCTGAAAGAACATAAATGAAAATAATTATTTGCATTTTGTGGCATAGTGTTTTTACATTGCATGATTCTGTGTATGGCTATGAGGAAAGCAATGGTCAAGGTTGTTTGAACGGAAGTTACGTGATACAACCTGAAATAAAAATTTTGAAAAGATTAGAAATGTGATTATACAGTAAACATATCATTACACACCTAAGATATATTTTTATAGAAATGTAACTGGTTCCATTGGTATGCAAACTCCAGATCTTCCAATACCACTTGGCTCATTTTTACAGTCAATTCCACAACATTTTAACTCTTTTTTTTTTAATATTCACAATTTTGTATATTTTTATTAATATACAGAATATATTATAAGCTCCATGGTGGACAGGAAAACATTTGTGAAGTTGCTAAAAACAGCTCCACTATGAAGGACGCTACTGTGACTGCCACAGAACCCGATATATATAATTTATTTATTCCAAAGGTCAATATAGAAGCTTGGATTTATACAGAATAGTGAAAACAAAATATGCTTTTACTACTGTAATTACTGTCAACATTGTTGAAAATTCTTTACATAAATATTGGACAAAAAGGTGAAGTATATTCCAGTAAAACTTTCAATATTTGTTTTCCCTTGTTGAGACCAACTGAATATTGATTACTCAATTACAGTCTATAATTGTCCTCGATTATAAGTACAGCCCAATGCTAATGAAGAAGTTAGAGAAGTGGTACTAGTTTCATTCACAATGATCATCATTCCTGATGATGACATAATTAATGTCGAAATATTGAATCCCAACACGATGGCGTGTATTTCAATACTTGGAGTATGTATTATACTTTCTTGGTACTAGTTGGTGAAAAGCAATCAAGAATCAAGATATGAATGAGTAAACACATGAGATGAGACTGTGTGGGTGAATCAAGAGAAGAACACGTGACTGTAGGCTGCCATATCCTTTGATTAATTGATGTTTCACACCCTTGAGGTTGTGGGCAATGAATCTGTGAAATTATTCAAATGAGCACATAATCACATGTACTCTACTATAATACAAATAAAACGTGAAATTACTGTAGTAAAACATTATTTAAAATAATAATAATAAAACTGAATTTGAATAAGGCCTACAGGAAACTGATGGTTGAACATTGCGCTTTCAACTCTTAATCAAATATTAATTCTTATTTCAAAATATCATCATGATAGCTAAACTGCAATTGATTAAATTATGACCTGACAATGAAACTGCATTACAATTTAACATGGAGTGGAGCTACAGTATAATGTAGCTAGTGGTTAAGATAAGATGAGAATATTCCTGAGTTCAAATCATATCAAAACTAATATTTGTTTTCATTTATGATGAATAATAACAACTTTATTCCCTAGGCCTCATTATGAGAAATAGTTTAGTATCACTTCCATCTTGTAATAACAACAATGATAAACTATAATAAAAATAATATAATGTATAATAGCAGCAAGAATAGCAATAACACACCTATAAACAATGAATAACTATATAATAAATAAATTAATAACTAACAATAATAACAATGCATGAATGACAATGTTATAGTAATAACAATTATAATTATCAGTCTTAACTCATGCCAAAACATTTATAATGAACACAAAGGAAAATATAAAAATAACTTACAAGGAAATCTGTGTCATTGATATTGAATCTTTCTCGTAGGTTCCTAAATACCAGAGGGCAGTATTCCTTAACTTTAAAATGACTTGGTAAATTTTCCCTGGAAGATAAATTTATGCATAATCGTGAAAGGTATCAAACTTTTGTGATATTATTATACAATACTGTAGATATTACAAATGCATGTTAACAAATTTTATTTATAAACATAGCAGTCATTTATCATTATTTGATAAGCCAAAAAATGGTTGTTACCACAGTAGAAATTTCAAAATATGGTTGGTTGGGAATATTTTGTTTTATTGTACAGTAGGCCTTTTTGGCTATTAGACTATACACTTCAGCTAGTAAATATTTGGCCACTAGACTAAAACCAAGCATCACAGAGTTAATTCATCATACTGTACAAGTATTTATTGTAGGGTTCCTCATTGTAAAAAAAAATATATATTAATGCCAACCTGTCTCCAGGCTAAACTTTAGTTGGTACGACTTGCATAGCTTTTGGGCCTAGTTTCCCAGTGTAAATACATTGGAAAGTCAAGTGGTTGAGTAGTAAGGCAATAGGCAAGGGTGCTGAAAATCATTGACCACACCTATACAGTATGCAATTCAGCACAATGTGCTACAAGTTTCTAAATACGATTCACTTCCTGTAATGTCCATGTAATATCTTGACATGTTTTGTGCATATGAAAACAATAAATGGCTGGTTTGTACACAAGACTATGGGTGTGTTTCTAATGATAAACAGAAAATAATCATTTATTATCATTTATTACAACTCCACCAGATCGCCAAAACTCCAACCATCCTAGAGTATTTTAACAACCAACAGTTGAACTAGATTTCTCACGTCATTCGGAGAGAAAACTCAAATCCCTGTAAGCAGCTCACCTTCTACGAAGCCAAGACAACCAGGTTCGGAAGAAGAACAAAGTTAATCATTGACAGAGCTGTGTCTGTGAGTGGATGTTCAAGATCCCAGTACATTCGAGAATCATTCGTAAAACATTCATAATTACACATTCTTTTAACAGTTTTCTAGGCTAGATTGACGCCCTCACCATTATGACACATGTGAATTAAATAGCTAACTGGTCTTAGAGCAGTTGGTGAAATGGTTTGGTGGAGAGTGGTTTTCTGCCTCTGTTAGCTCTTGATATGTTTTTATTTAAAAAACTATAAAAATCCAAGGCTATAAAATCCAAGCAACTATAGACAACTCTACTGTAAACAATTTTCCGAATCAAGGTGTATCTATTTCGAAGATCGAAAAAGAATGAGGAAGTTGCATGGTTGCGGGGCCGCTTGTGCTTGGCGCCAGGAGTCGACTGTTCTGTTATTTTTCGAGGGGTGTTTCTCGTGTGAGAAAGAATAGGCAATTAGTCAGTTTATCCAGGTAAGTATTCACGAAGTAGACAATAATAATTATTATAAAAGTGCTGTCACAAGTTTACTTCCCGCCAATTTATTAGACACATCATTTTGATGATATATGACTAGATAAAATTTTTTAAAAAGTATGTTCGTAAATGTAAACTTGTTTTGGCACACGGGAAGGAACCTTAAAAAAGGTCTTGCTGCTAATGTGTTAAGCAACCAACAAGGAGTATTATGACAGGAAAAAAGTTGTCAAGAGACACACCATGAACAAATCAGTCAATGAAAATAAGCAATACAGGATTCAGAAATTTATGCCACATTGGGTGGATGCCAATAATCTAGGCAAAGAAACTTACTGACAGATTAAGGAATCAGTTTGAATTACAAAAACACATGCTACTGTATCATGAATTGTTGAGCTGAAACATTTTTTGACGACTGGTTAAGAATTTAGCTTATTTTATGTAGTATTATACAGACTTGGGTTTTATAAAACTGTTAGCTATATAAGCAAGCTAATATTCTCTCTAATCTATCTAGTCACTAAACTGCATTCATACTGTAAATGTATTTCACATTGTAACATCTGTTTTTTTAAAATTTATGAAAACAATTAAAATTATTATATGAAACAAATATTGTTTTGCCAAAAGATATGGAAATCGATACTGAAAGCTAAAGTACACATGAATTTATACTGCACTATCAGTGAGTGAAATCTTTACTGCAAACTGCATTCATTGTTTTTGTACTGCAATTGTATCAATAATTACAATCAATTGTTTTATTTTATTGATACTTCCTTACCAAAAGAAAATGAAACCGTTTTTAATTGTTCCTTTTTTTTTTTAATTTGTGAAGAGATATTGGAATTCATTTAATGTACTGTACCAGCGAAAGGCAGCTAAACAAATTTTATGGTGGTTGAAAACAGAGTAAAGAAATGTTTGGCTGCTGTGGTAACTAAATGAGTGACATTCAAAGTATTGTTCCAATTCAGTTGTGGATTTCAACTACAAAAACTATGTTTCTAAATTATTATGAAAAAAATTGTTTACGACTTATACATTACTGTAGCACTCTTAAATGTACTGATAATCCTCGATGCAGATTATGAAACAATAGTATAAATTGAAACCACTACCGTTCAAGTGGCAGTGACTTCCTTACCACATGTTAGAAGTGGTCAAAAGATTTAGTAAGAAAGAAAGGAAGAAAGTACAATAAGTAAGAAAGGCTTATGGTGGTTATAAATGATTAAATCAATCAGCTTTACTTTGTTTTTTTTCCTTTAAGTCAAGAATTAAATTAAAATGTTAAGAGTTCTGGTGCAATGTTTGTGATTTATTTTCTCAACCTTCAGGTTGAGGGTTCAATCCCATGCTGATAATAATAATAATAATAATAATAATAATAATAATAATAATAATAATAATGCCAAAGAGTTATACTGCGCCAATTCCAAATGAATGAAAGGCACTGAGCATTATTACCCTTGGTCACTGGACACCATACAACAGCAAACCAGCACAAGTGCAAAATACTCTGGTCCCAGAGGAGTATACTGAGCCTAGTCGTGTGCATGTACTCGGCGTACGAAACTAGTACAATTCATGCCAAAACATCCTACCAGGTACCCACTTATACTCCTGGGCAGAGAGAAAGAGAGACAAACGTAATGTGCCTTGACCTAACCTCAAGCTTTGGAGTCTAAGCTACTAAACTACATTCGCTCGAGTCCTTGGGTAAGGCGTTTCACCTGGTTATCCTCAACCACCCAGGGGTACAAGTGGGTACCTGGTAGGCCTAAACATAAAATGTGCTGATTACTAGCTGCTACATTAGGCCAAATAAAATTAATTGCTAGTTTTACGTCCCCATCCTCATCAAATTTTGGAGCCTCATGAAAAAATAATGAATATCTGAAAGATTTATTTCAAGCCTAAGAAGATGTGGGAACATAAATGTCAGAAATACATTACAAAGATTCATTTTACTTCTTTTATAAAAAAAAAAAACAAACAAACATTTTTACGATTTCCCAGCCTGTTTATCACTACAGGATAGTAAAAAGCAAATAGTATTAAATACCCTCATTAAAAAATAATTTCAAATCCCGGATGTGAAAATAATTAATTTTGTTTGGCCTTATGGAATTCTCCACAGGGAGGGTTTTATTAAGTGTTCCATTATGTGTTTGATCTGATGACCAGGGTAATAATGTGGACCTACAGTATAGGGCTACTGTACCCATACTGCTGTACAGTACCTGTACAATGGTTCCATATTAATAAAAACCAAAATAAAAGACAATGCACAATCAAGTCAAGTAGAGGTGGTAGCTATCAACTCGGAAATTATTTTCATTCTGTAACATGTTGGTCCATAAACATTAATTATCTCACTGAGAAACTACTGGTTCACTCGATGATTCAAAGGATTAACTGTACACAACTGTTTTTCAGTAGATTAAAGGCACAGTCTCACATGCTGTTATTACACAGAGATGTGGCTAGCAATGAGTAAAAGTAGTATGGTTTGATAATGGTAGTAAGGCGCTACCAATCCCAGTCCGGGGTTCAATCCTGCAAAGATATACTGTTAGGATTTTTCACAAAACCAAAAACCATTTTCCTTGAATCTCATGAATATGTGGTTAGCACTGAAGGTCAAAAAAACAGCTTCATTGAATGAACCACTCAGGTTAAAATTTATTTTTAATGTCAGTGTTAAAGACAAAGCAGGTGTAAATGATATTAAAAATAAATTTGGTTTGTATAAATGGGTAAAGATATAAATAAGGTATGACAGCCATGGGATCATTGCACTACAAACTTAAACATGCTCCCAAATTTCTAACAATGCTTGTTTTACACGGATCACTAAAAGTGAGAGCAGAATATACAGTAATTAATGATTTGGCTACTTTAACCTGTGTTCTTGACTGGATTAGCAGGATATGAAATTGTAGTGAACATGATATTTACCAGAATAGTGAGTGCCAACTTAATAATTATTTAGAAAACTTTTCAAATCAAAGGTACTGTACTACAAAATATGTCTAAATCATAGCATTACAAAATCAAAAGCAAGAACAATGGATAGTTAATAGGCAAGACTTGCATGAAAATAAACAGATAGGTCTAAATGTAAATTATGAATTAGTGTCGGACGCGTCAATATGATGGATGCGTCATGGGCACATTAGGATGCATCTAACGCATCCAAATCGAGCACTTGTTTTAAGCGGTACTGTGTATATTTTTATTTTAGTTGGTTCTCAAGTCATACAATATTTTATATGAGATCGTATTTAAGTATATCGCTATCAATCAAACTGTTCAAAACTGAAGAATAAACAGTAGTGCATAGTTAAAATGGTTACCACAGAATTCCTATGAGAATATTAACTTAAAATACTATGCAATCACTGACCCTGCACTGGTAATGGTCATGTTGAAGTCGTAATGTAAACACAATTTGCAAAGCATGCTAAAGTTACAAAGCATACAAATTTACATTTAACAAACAAAGGTAAAGCAAGAGGTTACAAAGCATGTTGGAATTACAAAGCATGCCTACAGTACTACAAGTTAAGCATGATAAAAAGTTAAAAATAACCACTTGTTCATTTCATGTCCATAGGACGTACAGTTTACACCTAAACATATTTTTAAAAATCGTGATCGTGAAAATATTTATTATTACATGTTT